GAGGTTGGTGTGGGAGAGAGGCTTGTGGAAGCCGGTGGTGGCAGTTGGGCTCTGAGGGTTTCTTTTCCTGAGGAGCTGTTTTGCTTGGCGTTTGTAGTTCTAAAAATAAAGTTAGTTTCTTTTGACAAGTGGCTCCTGAATTGTGCCCAGCCAGACTGCGGCAGCCCAGAGGAATTAGAGAGCAGGTGTTTGGGTGGACGACAGGGGACAGTGGCTGTCTTGTGGGGAGTAGAGCAGTCCTGATTGCAAAATGGCCAAGGGTTAGTCTTGGATGTGGATGCCTATAGGGGCGCCTGGGAAAACTGGGCAGGCTCCGGGAGCTCTCAGGCTAGTGTAGCAGAAGCGTGGCTTCTGGGTTGGCCCTGGCTTGGGCTGTGGGCAGCAGGAGTGATAACCTCTGTGAACCTCTGTGACCAAGGCCTCCTGCAATAGTGAAAGCCTAAGACTAAGAATTGGATTTCCTGACAAGCCTGGCAAGGACAGGAGGRGGCTCCAACGGTGAATTATCAAAATAAAAAATTTGGCATTCTTTACACCCCGAGTGCTGTACCCCGATTCATAGACATGAAGTGTGCAGACTATGCCTTTAGCTGAGTGTGGGCAGACCTTAGCGATGGATTGGAAGCAGAGGGTGGGAGACTGGTGCAAAAGAGGAATTCCTGGTTTCTTTGGGGAAACTAGGTTTGGTCAGCTGTAATAGTCTCTTCCTTCAGGAGATCCCCCTACTCGAGGACACCGACTCCAGAAGGTGTTGCTCCATCCCATCTCGGGGCTGTCCCTACCAGCTATCCAGGCGGACAATCTCCCTGCTCCTCCAGACCTCAGAGGATGCAAAAGGCCACACAGCAGGTCAGGCTCACGTGGGCTCTCAGGCCTCCTGGGTGTGGAGGGAGAAGTTACTGATACGGGGATCCTTGTATGACATCGCGGCCTTTCCCGGATCGGCCACCAGGGGCGCCAACGAGGAGAGAGGGCCTGGGGCGGGGGGCCTGGCCTTCAGGCTGCTCGGGCCTGCCCTGGGGCAGTGGGCGATGGGCAGGCTCTGGGCCTCTCTGGAGCCTCCCAAGGCCTCTTCTGCACACTCGCGCCYGGGGGACGTTGTTCCTGTCTGCGGCTGCACGAGCCGTGAACCCGGAGTCCAGCTGCACGGCGAGGCTCTGTGCGCCCGGGGCTGCCGAGAGCCTGGACACCTCCGGCATGGTATTGTGCCGGCCGCCGGCCTACCTGACCTCCGCGGGTTGGCTTGACCCTGGCCAGCAGCGGGAACCTCCCTCCAGAGACTCCCCACATGCCTGSGCGCATGGCCCAGGGGTCCTTCATCTTCCTTCATTTTAGCCAGCGAGGAACCAGGCCACCAATGAGATCTGCCTCCCAGGAGGCCAGAGCTGTTTCCTTTTCTGCCTTTCCCTGCCCCAGTCGGGGTGGCAAGGCCCTGAACTCCTCACCTGCGCCCTCACCTGCGTCCTCACCTACCTTCTGGGCAGTGGAGACCTGAGCTGAACCCAGACAGGAGCTGGAGTCGTCGCAGCCTGCAGCTTCACCCCCCCCCMCCCCCGACTTGGAGGTGTTCTCCCTCGGGTCCTCTTCTGACTTCAGTACTTTTTACAATTGAAGATATTGAAGCAGYCGCACTGGCTCCCAGGGAAGCTGCCAAATCTACCCGCCAGCCATGGCTCCTCATCTGCAGTCTGTCCCACCTCTTGATGCCGGTCACCTCTGAGTCTCTGGAATCATGCTGGGCCTCTCAGGCCCCTGGTTCCTCCCTACAGTTCGGGCTTCTCTTTAGGTCTCTAGAAGGATTTTTGTATGGGKCTCACTTCTTCCCTCCTGATTTCCTCAGTGCTGCTTCAGTGACCAGCACCCCTTCCCAGTCACACCCAGGGACACTGACTGCCAGACCTGCTTCCCACCTGTTTCTCCTCAGCGGTGGAGCCCTGGTAGCCAATGGCACCCTGGACAGGCCCAGGTGTCTGGGTGGCCTGCAGAGACGCTTGCCTGAGGTGATGTTGCCATCATTTTCCTGGCCTGTTTGTCATGGGACTGGGTGTGGGGTCAGAGAAAGAACTGAAAGGAGGAGGAGAAAGGCTTCCCTACAGAACACCTCCTTATAGCTCAGTGTGGCCTTTTCATATCTTCAGGTTCCTGATTTGGAGAGCTCATGGCAGCAAGCTCTGGGGGCCAGGAGAAACATCACAATGTGTGTGTGAGTGTGTGTGTGTGTGTGCACCCGCATGCATGTGTCCACAGGTGCTTCTGGGAACAGAAAGCCCCAATGCTGTGGGAACCGGGTAAGGAGGCAGGCTRGGGTGGGCAGGATGGGAAGGCTCGTTCAGTAGTCATCAGAGCCTCCTGTGATTATCTAGGAACTGAGCTGAGCTCCTTTAAGGGAGGGCCTTTAACAATGATCTTCAAAAGGGTCAGGCATGTTCTTTGAAAGCCAACTTTGGTAGGGACAATGGGTAGAGCTCCCCACCCTCCCCAGACCCTTGAGGGCTCTAGAATTTAAAAAGGAGGTCACCATGGACTTTGAGGCCCACAGCAGTGGGATGCTGGCAGGACCCATCTCTGACCAAGGCTGAGCTTCAGGCTCCCCCGTCTTCTTCCCTGTGCCCTGGCTGTGGTTCTCCCTCAGCCCGCCAGCACCACTGTCACAGGTCACAGGGCTGACCCCACTCCGTCTCCCTGATGTCCTGGGATTCATAAGACTGATCACCCCTAAGAGGTCCCAATTTTCTGCTCCAAAGACCTGCCAACTCCTTGGTCAAGTCCTCATGCAAACCAGATCCTTTCATTCAGTGCCTTYTGGAGGAGCCTCTCCCTGGCCCTCCAGGCACACCAGGTTGCCCCTTTCCTCTCCCTGCCTGGGTGGTCCAGCACCCTGGCCCAACTCCACAGCCACTTTCCACAGGAAGCCTTCCTGTCTGCCCCAGTGGGTATCCCCCTTTCATTCTCTCAAGACCAGGCCTTTACTTGTCSGGGGGCCTCGTCCCACACCACATTTTATTTTCATAAGACTGTGATTCTTCACCACAGTGACCCTAATCCTGGCACAAAGTAGGTACTGAGGAAAAGTCTGGTGCATGAACTAATAAATGGGGGACTTCAGGCATTTTTATTTTTATTTTGTTAAGGAGAGAGAGAGAGAGAGAGAGAGAGAGAGAGAGAGAGAGAGAGAGAGAGAAAGATTAAAAAAAATGGGGCTTAATCACTGAGCCATATCCCAAGTACTTTTTATTTTTTATTTTGAGACAGGATCTTGCTACTTGTTAAGTTGCTTAGGGCCTTGCTAAATTGCTAAGGCTGGCCTCAAGTTTGTGATACTCTTCCCTTAGCCTTCCAAGTCACTGGGATTACCAGCTTCAACCATTACACCCAGTTAAAAAATTTTTTTTTCAGACAGGGTCTTGTTTGTTGCCCAGGCTGCCCTTGAGCCCCTGGGCCTAAGTGATTGTCTCACCTCAAACTCCTAAGTAGCTGGGACTACAGGCATGTGCTGTTGTACCAGGTTCAAGGCTTTTTTTTTTTTTTTTAGAAGTCCCTGGCTGAGCCGTCATGGATATTGAATGAAGATCATCAGAGCAGGTTCTGCTCTCCGTAGTGTCCTGACACTCATGATCAGAGGCCTAATTTTCTCAAGAAGTTTAACTCTTGTGTAAGCTTTAAAATGGAGCCTGTGACAAATAATTGTCACCCAGAATTACTCTGGGCCGAGCTGTGTCYCTGCTCCTGTTTCATCGGCAGGCTCCAACTCTAGCCCATCCAGGGCTCAGCCTTTAGGGATTTGGTAGCCCTTGCTAGGCTTCCATGGGCTCTGAACCTTGGCTTGTTTTGATCATTTTCATGAGGGATTTTGTCCTTGATGTCCTAGCATCACCTGCCCACTCCCATCTCATGCTGATAACTCACAGGAACTAGAAGTTATGGTTTGGATATGAGGTACCCAGCAGCTGCAGTTAATCCAGGAACATTCAGAAGTGAAATGATTAGATTATAAAAGCTGTAMTCTAATCAGTCCATCCTAGTTTGAATGGACTGACTGGATGGTAACCATAGGAGGTGGGGTGTGGCTAGAGGAGGTGAGTCACTGGGGGCATGGCCAGACTGGTTCGTCTTCCTTGCAGCCCCTTCCCCCYCTGTCTCTGCTTCCTGACCCCTCCATGAGCTAAGCAGCTTTCCTCTGCTGGGTCCTTCCCTGATGATGTGCTCAGGCCCAGAGCGATGGAGTGGTTCATCTATGAAACTGTGAGTACCAAGTAAACTCTCCCTCCTTTAAGTTGTTCTTTGTTGGGCATTTTGGCCAAAAAGCCATGAAAGCTAAACACTGGGCATTTCTTAGACTCCTCTGGCCCAGGTGGGCCTGCCTGCCTGCTTTCGAGAGTACACGGTATTGAGCAATCATGGCATGTGTACGCATGTGCCCCCTCCCCCACAGAGCTGGAAGGAGACACTGCTGAACCAGAAGGACCAGTTTTATTAGATTCCAGCAAGACTATACAGCACGTTTCATGCAGATTAACTGTGTTTTCCCCGCCCCGGGGAGGAGCCCTTCCACTGCCAGCTCCTTTGATGGCACATCAAGGGGAGGGGCATCGAGGGGACCCTTCAATATATTCTGCATGAGGGACAGTTGGGATCGTGACAGGGGGTGGAGGTGAGATGGTGGGCAGCTGAGGGCCCCTGGGGCCTTGAGTCTTCAGAGGCTCAGGAACCGTAGGACCTGGGTCCTTTTCTGGTGCTGGCACCAGAGGATCTTGATCCTTCAGAGGCACCTGGGTTATAGGAATTTGCTTCTTCACAGGCTCAGTGACCATGGGGACTTGACTCTTTGGAGGCTCTGAGACCATAAGACCTTGATCCTTGGCTAGCGCTGGGATAATAGGGTCTTGGTACTTCATAAACTCATGGAACACAGGGCCTTGATCCTTTACAGGTGACATAATCACAGAATCACGACCCTTCAGATGCTCAGTGACCACTACATCTTGACCCTTGACTGGCTCTGGGGCTGCTAAACTTTGACTCTTTCCAGGCCCAGAGACCACAGGACCTTCACTCTTTATAGGTGCTGTGACCATGGCACTTTGATCCTTCTGATGCTCCGGGACCAAGGGATCTGCATCCTTAGCAGGTGCTGGGACCACAGGACTTTGATCCTTCAGAAATGCTGGTACCATGGAACCTTGATCTAAAACTTTAGCTGGAACCATAGGACTTTGTTTCTTCACAGGCTCTGGGATCAAGGGACCTTGGTCCTTGGCTGGTTCTGGGACCATGGAACCTAGATCCTTGGGAGGTTCTGGGACCACAGGACTTTGATCTTTCAGGGATCCTGGTACCGCAGGACCTTCATCCTTTGGAGGTCCTGGGACTATAGGACCTTGATCCTTTGGAGGTTCTGGGACCACAGGACCTTTATCCTTCAGAGGCTCTTGGACCACAGGGCCTTGACCTTTCAGCAGCCCTGGGACCACAGGACCTTGATCCTTGTCTGCCTCTGTGGCTACAGGACCTTGTTTCTTATGTGTCTCTCCGGCAGGTTGGACTGGGCTCCTGCAAAGGAGAAAAAGGTGGTCACTGTGAGGACGGAACTTGGGCCAGGGATAAGGCAGAGCACAGATTGCCTGATAAAACTTGGCCTAGTGGAGCTTGGGCAGGGCGGTTCTTATTGGCGAGGAGAATCTGATTTCTGTGTTAGTAAAAAATGTGGGGTGGGTGAAGGGCAGGAACCAGTCATTCAATGTGTTTGCCAATTGATTATAACCTGCACGTGGCACAGGGGACAGTGCCTGGGTGACAACGGCAGTACTGCAGCTGGACTTGGAGTCATCCAGTGGGCATCCCGGTAGCCAGTCCAGCCCACACTCCACCCAGGCCCTACTTATTCCTCGAGGCTTGCTGGTCCCATCCTGGGGCCATCTTAGCCTTCCACTCAGGTGACCCTACAGGCTGGACCACTCCGTCCCTGTTTTCAAGGGCTTCCAAGTTTCTTTTCTCCCTGTAGCATTATGAGCTGATTTCTGGGAAGGGCAAGGGGTCACCACATAACATGAAAGGGGGTAGTGAGAATGTCTTCCTTCTCACCCCTGTAAAGGGAAAAGTACTTATTACCAATATTTTTTAGAATGGTAAGCACATGATAATAATAAAAACTAGATTGACTTTTAACTAGTTCCATTATTGCTTTTCAGTTTTCTAGAGACAGTACACCCCATTATTTCCTGCAACACTCCCACCACACCCCACTTCTGGTAGGCAACTGGCTGGGACTCCCCATTCAGGCAGTGAGGGGGGCCTATCCCTCCCTCTGTCCCCACTTGCATTTCCTCTAGTCTCCTTGAACCCTTGCTCTCTCTTGCTCCAAAGCTTTTGGACTTATTTCCTCTAGTCAAGAGTCCTCACTGCAGCCACCTCCCCATCCTTTGACCCACCCACCTGCAGAGAGCATGTGACAAACACTGCCACACTCTGGCCTGGCCAGCTCTCACCCCTTCCTCGAAGGCCAGGCTAAAAGCCACCACTCAAGAGAGGTATTGCTCAGCTGGCGACACAGACCCTGGCACCCCTAGGCACATCACGCCTTCCAAATCACTTCTCATATCTCATTTCAGAACACAGCCCTAGGAAGCACGTGGAAGGATTTTATTAGTCTAGATTTTAAATGAAGAAACTGAGGTCCAGAGAGGGCAAGTGATGGAGGCAGTGAGGGGACACCAGGGACTAAGGTCTGGGTCTTTCTGCCCTGGGATTGATCTGTGGTCTTTCCTGCTCCAGGGTCTGTCACAGAGCAGGTGCTCAGTGCAAGGAAGCTCTAATTATTAGTCTTCTACTCTTCACCACAAGGTTTGTGAGCTTAGAACCACGTCAGCATCTTCACAGGTCCTCCCAGGCTTTCAGGAATAGTCTTACCTGCTTCTTGCAGCTGCTCCAGTGACACCTCCACCTGGCAATGCTTCCTCACCTCATTATGGACTAATCTCTCTGGGCCTCCCTTGTCATCTATTCGTTGGGAATAGTGAAATTCCTCCGAAGTTTGTGATGATAGAGGTCTGCACACAGAGTGCTTGGTACCAAGGTAGGATTGCGCAGTTTTATGATTATTTTTTTCTATTTATGTGCTTAGAAGTAAAATTACACAAATTTGGGCTGTTTTTATTATTCTAAGTCATGATCTAGAAGGTTTTCACTGAATTTGGCATCTCAAGCTGCCTAAGAGCTGACCCCTGTCATCGGGGTCCACTGTGGCAGGCAGTCTGTCTGTCCAGTTCCCTTGCTGTCTCTGAGCATCACAGTAGCAGGGAGAGCTGAGGGAGGCCTCCTGGCTCAGCACAATGCAAAGTGCAGTTGTCCTGGCCATGAGGACAGAGCCAGGCAAGCCTGTTGAGGAGTATGGAGGATCCAAAGATGATATTAAAACCATTCTAGTCATTGGTAGCTAGCCAGAGAGGAAAATGAAAAACTGAATTCAGAACAGAATCAAGCAGGGAATCGATTAGAGGTATCCTCTCAGGCCATTAGGTGACCTGGGCACAGTCTTCTTGATGGGGTGATAAAGCTCAGAGGGGGCAAAAGATGGTGACCAGGGTTAAGCCTGATCTCAGGGGCTTGGGCTACAGAACTACCCCATTGGCAGGCCATGGGAGTGCCCTGTTGGCATGGAGATCATAAACAAGGCTGGCCCCTCAGCCATAGCCTTGGGCAGGAAAGAGTTTCTCTGGATGTTTGTGGCATTGCCTCCCATGACACCCCCGAAACCATAATAAGCACTCTCAGCCAGCTGTACACTAACCCCCAAATTGCAGGGATCAATAACCTTGTATTGATTTGATTAGTAAATACTTTCCCTTCATAGCTAAATGTCTTTAATCATGGGATAGTTTAGAATTAAGATTAGAACTGAGGGGCTGGGATTGTGACTCAGCGGTAGAGCGCTCGCCTAGCACGGGCGGGACCCGGGTTCGATCCTCAGCACCACATAAAAATAAAGGCATTGTGTTGTGTCCATCTACATCTAAGAAATAAATGTGTTTTTTTTTTAAATTAGAACTGATAAGTTAATCCCAAACTATTAACTTTTTTATTGTATTAACTTTAGGAAAAATCTGCTTTGATTTAGCTTGAAACTATGCATAATGTTTAAGATAATTTGTCATATTAGAATAACAGATTCATCTTGTGATCATGTAATGGAATAATTAAGTTAAAACGATAATTTATTTTAGTTTTTCTTATGTACTTTTTTCTTTTTATAAAGAAGTTTTTAATATAATCAGGATATGAAATGAATAATTAAAATCTTTTTGGTGCCTGGGCATGGTGGCACACTCTTGGGTCCCAACTACTGGGGATGTTAAAATGGGAGGATTGCTTGAGGTCAGGAGTTCCAGACCATTCCAGGCAACATAGTGAGGCTCTGTCTTGAAACAAACCCTTTGCCACTTACCATGAAAGCCTGAACATTTACCTCCTATATTTTATTTATTTATTTATTTATTT